GTCCACAGGCACCTACGTCGACGAGGTTCCCCCACCTGGGGCGAACATCGTCAGTGGCATGTGGATTTTCAGGGTGAAGCGGCCGCCGGGTTCTCCGCCTGTCTTCAAGGCGCGTTACGTGGCTCGAGGCTTCAGTCAGCGGCAGGGAGTTGACTACTTTCATACCTTCTCCCCGACCCCGAAGATGACCACTCTTCGGGTTCTGCTGCACGTCGCTGCGCAGCGTGACTACGAGCTTCACTCTCTTGACTTCAGCACTGCTTTCCTACAAGGCAGCATGCACGAGGAGATCTGGCTGCGCCGCCCACCTGGCTTCACTGGGTCGTTTCCTCCTGGTACCCAGTGGAGCCTCCAGCGGCCACTCTACGGTCTCCGCCAGGCGCCCCGTGAGTGGCACGACACACTGAGGACTACGCTTGCGGCTCTTGGGTTTGCTCCTTCTACTGCTGACCCGTCGCTGTTTCTACGCACCGACACTTCGCTGCCGCCGTTCTACATCCTCGTGTACGTCGACGACTTGGTCTTTGCTACTGCTGACACTGCTGGACTCGCCCACGTGAAGTCCGAGCTGCAGAAGAGACACACGTGCACAGACCTGGGTGAACTGCGCAGCTATCTTGGCTTGCAGATCACCCGCGACAGAGCACGGCGCACCATTACCCTGACTCAGTCACACATGATGCAGCAGGTCCTTCAGCGCTTCGACTTCACGTACCCCTCGCCTCAGGCCACTCCTCTGTCTACTCGCCACTCGCTCTCAGCTCTGCCTTCGGATGAGTCCGTAGAGCCGAGTGGCCCGTACCCAGAGCTTGTTGGCTGCCTCATGTACCTGATGACCTGCACTCGTCCTGACCTGGAATACCCTCTTAGCGTCTTGGCACGCTATGTTGCTCCTGGGAGACACCGACCAGAGCACATGGCTGCCGCGAAGAGGGTGTTGCGCTACTTGTGCAATACGTCGGGCATGGGGCTCGTGCTTGGAGGGCGGAGTCCAGTGGTCCTCACTGGTCACGCAGACGCGTCTTGGGTTGACGACCTGGCTACTCAGCGGGTTACACCTTCAGCCTTGGTTCCGGCTCTGTTTCGTGGCGGTCTACCCGCTCGTCTTCTGTTCTCAGCTCCAGCTGTGAGGCTGAGATCTACGCAGGGGCCATGGCTGCACAGGAGTTACGCTGGCTCACCTACCTGCTGACTGACCTGGGAGAGCCGCCTCGTTCTCCTCCAGTTCTGTACGTAGACAATACGGCCATGCTGGCCTTGTGTCGGGAGCACAGACTGGAGCACAGAACAAAGCACATTGCTCTTCGCTACTTCCTTGCTCGTGAGCTGCAGCAGCGTGGTCAGCTGCGCCTTGCTTACGTGGCCTCTCAGGCCAACACTGCTGATATCTTCACCAAGGCACTTCAGCCTTGTGATCATCAGCGCTTCTGTACTATGCTAGGTCTTGTGCCTACTTGGCCTCACTTGCTTACCTCTTGACTTTTCTTGTACTGTGATCTATATACATAATCATGCATGTGAACTGGCCTTGTGGCCTTTGAACCTGTGCTCGGAATGTGTGGTGATGTTGTGATCCACCCTGAGCTTGCTTTGCTTTGCTTTGCTTGACTGGCCTTGTGACCCCTTGTTCTCCCCCACTTTGCCTATGGGGGTGTGTCAAACTTATATGCTATAGTCTGTTTAGGCTGTAGTGGGGTAGACACTATGGGGTACAGTTTCCTAGGGTTTCATATTTGTACCCAACTCATTTCCTAGTCAATCATTCATTCCTGTTTCTTCACAGTGCAGACAACAGCCGACGGATGCACAACGTTGCAAGTCGGGCCAATCGTCTGCGCACACCTGCGAGTGTGTGCACTGCTGTCTTCTACGGGGCAACGCTGGACAGCCGCTCTGCTGCAGTGATAGCACACCGTCGACCTGCTGTGTTGGCAGGTCGCGTTTCTGCAGTGCTGGCGCGGCTCCTCTACGCAACGTTGGCGGGCGGTCGACCATGCTGTGCTGTCGGTCGACCAGGCTAGCTGCAGAGTTGCTAGGTTCCTGATGTAGTCATTGTTGTCATTGCTTGTTCAACAATTCTGGAATTCCAACTTTGCTAGTGGAAACTCTTGCCGATTTCTCCCGCGATTGTGCAAGCGCTAAGGAACTAGGCAAAGCTACGATCACTCATAGTAGTTCGTGCCAACCCCCGTAGCCTAGCTCACTACCTTAGTAGAGTGATTCTCCGCAGGAAGAACGCCCCGATTGTTGGTGCAAAGATTGTAACGTTGTTCGAAAATAGTGCATTTATAAGCGTCTCAATTAAACCTTGTCAGAATATCATGTTTCTCTAGTCTGCAGTGGGGTACTCAATAGTGAGTACAACCCTGTTAGGGTTTCCTATATGTACTCCATTGCTTTCTAGTGCATTCATTCTCTCGTTGATTCTCACATGGTATAGAGCGATTTCGATCCTTGGGCCCACCACTAAAATATTTTTTTTTCCTACCCAAGGCGCGCGTCGCGCCTGCCCTTAACGGCCCTTCGCGGCCCCTCATTAGGCCCCTTCGCGGCCCCTCATACGGCCCCCTTCGCGGCCCCTCGTTAGGCCCCTTCGCGGCCCCCCCTCGTAAGGCCCCCTTTCGCGGCCCCCCCCTCGTAAGGCCCCTTCGCGGCCCCTAGTAAGGCCCTTCGCGGCCCCGTCAGGCCCCGTAAGGCCCCGTCAGGCCCCGTTTGCGGCCCCGTCAGGCCCCGTTTGCGGCCCCGTCAGGCCCCGTCAGGCCCCGTAAGGCCCCGTCCGGCCCCGTAAGCCCCCCCCCCAGTTTGCGGCCCCCGTTGCGGCGCGACTCGCGGCCCTGCCCCGACCCTGTCGCGGCCCTGTCCCGGCTTTACTGCGACCCAGCCCCGGCCCTACTTCGACCCTGTCGCGGCCCCGTCCCGGACCTGCCCCGACCCCGGCCCTGCCCCGACCCTGTCGCGGCCCCTCGTTGCGGCCCACCGTCGCGGCCCCCTGTCGCAGGCCCCCGTCGCGGCCCCCCGTATCGCCCCCTTCGCCCGGCGCCGCCCCTGTCCCGAACCTTCGCGGCCCTGCCTCGACCCTGTCGCGGCCACGTCCCGGACCTGCCCCGACCCCGGCCCTGCCCCGACCCTGTCGCGGCCCTATCGCGGCCCTCCCCCTGCTATGCCCCGACCCTGCCCAGGCCCCGCCCTCCTCATGCCTGTCGTGGCGCACCAGGGGCCCGTGCTCCGCCGCGCCCCCCCCCCCGGGTCGCCACGTAAGGCGACGGGAGGGGCGACCTGGGGGGGCGCGCGTCGCCCCTTCTTCCGCCTGCTCTGGCGCCCTGGGAGGCCGCGCGTCGGCCCCCGTACTCCTCCCCCCCCCCCCCCCCCCCCCCCCTCAGGTCGCCTCAACAGGCGACGGGAGGGGCGACCTGGGGGGGCCGCGCGTCGGAGCAGCCGCCCCTGGTGCAGCCGCCCCTGGAGCAGCCGCCCCTGGACCCAGAGCAACCGCCCCTGGCCTCTGGAGCAGCCGCCCTGGGCCGCGCGTCGGAGCAGCCGCCCCTGGTGCAGCCGCCCCTGGAGCAGCCGCCCCTGGACCCAGAGCAGCCACCCCTGGCCCCTGGAGCAGCCGTCCCTGGCCCCTGGAGCAGCCGCCCCTGGTGCAGCCGCCCCTGGACCTCTGCAGCCGCCCCTGGAGCAGCCGCCCCTGGTGCAGCCGCCCCTGGACCTCTGCAGCCGCCCCTGGAGCAGCCGCCCCTGGTGCAGCCGCCCCTGGAGCAGCCGCCCCTGGTGCAGCCGCCCCTGGAGCAGCCGCCCCTGGTGCAGCCGCCCCTGGACCTCTGCAGCCGCCAATGGAGCAGCCGCCCCTGGTGCAGCCGCCCCTGGTGCAGCCGCCCCTGGTGCAGCCGCCCCTGGTGCAGCCGCCCCTGGAGCAGCCGCCCCTGGTGCAGCCGCCCCTGGACCCCGCGCCGCCGCCCCTGGACCCGGTGCCGCCGCCTCCCTGTACTGCCCGTTGCTGCTCTCCCCCCCCCCCCCCCCCCCCCCGCCCCTTCTTCGTCTCCCTGCTGCGCGTGCAGCCGTGGAAAGGAGGGTATGGGGGTGGCGGGTATGGGGGTGATGGGTGGTATGTTTCCCTTCCCCTCCTCCTCCTTTGGCTCCCACTACTGCAGCTGCCGCTGGGGGGGGTGGATGTGTGGGAGCCAAAGGCGTGGTGCTAGGGGGTGGGGTGTGAGTGAACCTAGGGGTGCAGCAGGGGGTGTGTGAATGGGGGGTGCGGCAGTAGAGGGAGGTTGGGTGGAGGTAGCTGTCTTGTCGTCCGCAGCACCTGTAGTCCGGGGCGCTGTCCTGGTAGCCCAGTCGTAGCCAGCTGCGCCAGTCGCCCGTGGGTCCGTTGCTCCTGCCGCTCGTCTTAGCCGCGGAGCCAGTTACTCCTGTAGTCCGGGGCGCTGTTCCGGTAGCCACTGTGCCAGTGTGACTCCTGTTGCCCGTGTGTCTGCAGCTTCAGCTGTCGCCTCCTATCTCCTCTCCTCTTACAGTCCCGCCTCCTCCTCCTCACTTGCCCTCTGTGATAGCCTCTAGCTTTACTTATTTATTGTGAACTTTAAACTGTTACTTCTTGTACTTGTGCTCAGAATGTGTGGTGACATTGTGATCCACCCTGAGCTTGCTTTGCTTTGCTTCTTGTGCTGATCATACCCCACTTTGACTATGGGGGTGTGTCAGAATATCATGTTTCTCTAGTCTGCAGTGGGGTACTCAATAGTGAGTACAACCCTGTTAGGGTTTCCTATATGTACTCCATTGCTTTCTAGTGCATTCATTCTCTCGTTGATTCTCACAAACCTGTAGAAGTCGGAGCAGGTTGGAGGTCACAAAAATGGACAGAAATGCAACAAACAAAAGGATTGCCGATTTGAAGTTGAAGGATTGCCGATTTGCCAACAAAACGATCATTTAGTAAAATTGCACTCTGAAATTCATGTAGCAACTGGATTAATTGGAGGTTTAACTTACCCGCTCCTTCAAGCTCCCGAAGGGGGAACAGGGGCGGGAACGGGCGGGGGAAACGGGACAGGGACGGGCGGGGGGAAAGGGACAGGAAAGGGTGGGGGAACAGGGTCGGGAACAGGTAGGGTAACAGGGGCGGGAACGGGCGGGGAAAATGGGTCAGGGACGGGCGGAAGGAAAGGGACAGGAATGGGTGGGGGAACAGAGGCGGGTATAGGCGGGGGAAAAGGGACGGGGACAGGTGGGGGAAAAGAGACAGGAACTGGTGGGGGAACAGGGGCAAGAATGGGAGGGGAAAAAGGGACAGGAACGGGCAGGGGTAAAGGGACGGGAACGGGCGAAGGAACAGGGACAGGGACGGGCGGAGGGAAAGGGACAGGAACGGGTGGGGGAACAGGGGTGGGTATGGGTGGGGAAAAAGGGGCGGGGACAGGTGGGGGGAAAGGGACAGGAACGGGTGGGGGGACAGGGGCGGGAACCGACGGAGGGAAAGGGACGGGGACGGGCGGGGGGGAAGGGACGGGGACGGGAGGGGGGAATGGAACGGGGACGGGCAGGGGAAAAGGAACGGGGGCGGGTGGTGGGAAAAGGACGGGGACAGGCGAGGGGAATGGAAAAGGGACGGGCGGGGGGAAAGGGACGGGGACCGGGGGGGGGGGAACGGAAAAGGGAGCGGCGGAGGCAAGGGGAAGGGGTTGGGGTGGGGGAAACTCCAAGGGCCCCGGACCTGGCGCAAGCAAGGGGATAGGAGCTGGTTCTGGGGCGGGCGGAGCCTCGGAAACTGGTTCGGGAACGGTGGTTGGTGAACAAACAAGAAGCTCGGGGATGGGTAACCAGACTGGAAGCGGAGGAAACGCGGGTAGTGGCGGGCTATCGAGCGGAGGGGGGGGAACTAACAAAGAAGGCGGAGCAGCAGGCTTCGAAGGGCAAGCAGCAGGCGGAGCGGGTGGGTCTAGTCTGACGGTGGAGCAGCAAGCGATTATAGCTGAATTGAACAAGGCTCTGGGTTTTCTATTTGAGCGGAAATTCATAGGAGCTGCAATGGGGATCAGCAGAAGTGGTAAGTTACATGTATCTCATAACACTCTTCTGTTGTATATATCATGTACATTTTGACCTTTTCTTCAAAACCATTTTCTCCCCGTTTATCAACATTACTTCTGTTTGTTTCAATTATGGACATTCTTGTTCCTGCAACCTGCCCCAAAATCTCCAGGTATAAATACTACACTTATGAACACACTGCGTACAAACGGTGTTACAATCTTTGCACCAACCAACGGGGCGTTCTTCCGCATGCCCAAGAACGTGCGTTTCGTAGGGCTGCAGAGGAAGAAGGGGGTCCTCGGGCAGGTGATGGCCTATCACGTGCTGCCATGTTGGATGGAAATGAACGACCTCAAGGCCCTTGGGAATGGATCTCTGGTAAGTCTGACCTTGCTCTTATAATCCTGCGCGTTCCCTAAAACCTTTAGACGAAACCATTGTTAGAATCCTAGGCAAAAGTGGTATTACAATGTCGAGAGGTTTGGTACAAGAATGAAACCTAAGGGGTTGTACCCCACAGTGAGTACCCCACTAAAGTCTATCTAAACAACAACATATACACATATGTTTGACACACCCCCATAGGCAAAGTGGGGGAGAATAGAGGGTCACAAGGCCAGACAGGAAGTGCAAAGCAAGCTCAGGGTGGATCACAACGTCACCACGCAGTCTGAGCACAAGCAAGAAGGCCACAAGGCCAGTTCACATGCAGAGACATATATGTAACAACAACAGTACAGTGATATCTACCTACAAGAACAAGCATGCAGGAATACATATAAATCATGGTACAAACAAAGCCTACAGCAAGTGAGGAAGCGTAGGCACAAGGCCTAACAAAGTGCAGAAACGCTGATGATCACCAGGCGGAAGCGCCTTGGTGAATATATCAGCAGTGTTGGCCCGAGTGGCCACGTAGGTAAGACGAAGCTGGCCACGCTGCTGCAGCTCTCGAGCAAGAAAGTAACGGAGAGCGATGTGCTTTGTTCTGTGCTCCAGTCTGTGCTCCTAACACAAGGCAATGGCGGCCTTGTTGTCGACGTACAGAACTGGAGGAGAACGAGGCCGCTCTCCCAAGTCGGTCAGCAGGTAGGTGAGCCAGCGCAGCTCCTGTGCAGCCATGGCTGTGGCGTAGATCTCTGCCTCACAGCTGGAGCCGAGAACTGAAGACGAACGTGTAGAACGCCAGGAAACTGAACCAAAACCAAGGCTGAAGGTGTAACCCTGTGACGACCGCTGCGTAGCTAGGTCGTCAACCCAAGAGGCGTCCGAGTGACCAGTGAAGACAACGTCACCCCGTCCTCCAAGCACGAGCCCCATGCCCGATGTTCTGCACTAGTAGCGTAGTACCCTCTTGGCAGCATCCATGTGCACCTTTCGGTGTCGACCAGGAGCCACGTAGTGAGCCAGAAGGCCAAGAGGGTACGCAAGGTTGGGACGAGTGCAAGTCATCAAGTACATGAGGCAGCCCACTAACTCTGGGTAAGGACCACTCGGCTCTACGGCCGAAGGTGGAGCTGTCCTCCACCTGTCCTCAAGGACGTCCGTGCCAAGAGCACACTCACCCCCGACGGTCGGAGGACAGTCAGACGCAGACTCAGCAACAAGACTGGCGGCGTAGTCTAGACGACAGTGAGCAGCAAAGGCAACAAGCTCAGTGATTAAGGCAGACGCAGCAGGAGACTCAAACGACGGGTCAGTGACAACAGTGGCAAGCAGACGCGTGACAGTAGAGTGCTCAGCACGAAACCGGTCAGACGCAGGGTCAGCAACGACAGGCAGAGAGGACGCAGGGGGAGGCGGCAGAGGAACACGCGGCGAAGGAGAGGAAGGACGACGAACTACAAGGGGAGAGCCGGAGACAGCCAGCTGGCTCTGACTAGGAACATGACGACTGGAACTGACAGGGGAGACAGGACGCGGCGCAGGCTCACGACGCTCTGCAAGGCCACCAGGCTGCTCTGTGTACGGAGAAGGAGCAGGCAGCGGTGAGCCAGGCTGTAACGGAAGACCAGTAGACGAGGGAAGACCGAGAACCTAGCGAAGTGCAGAGTCAGGTGGTGGCTGAGACGACGGAGACGGCGGAGTGAAGAACAGGCGCGGCTGAGCAGTGCCACCAGCACGAGCAGCACCAGCCCCTCCAGCAGCTCCAGCACCTACAGCAGCTCCTGCACCTCCAGCAGCTCCAGTACCCTCAGCAGCTCCAGTACCGCTAGTAGCTCCAGTGCCTCCAGCAGCACCACCACCTGCCCCAGCAGCTCCAGTACCCCCAGTACGAGCACCTCCGGGACCAGCGACACCAGCAGAAGAGCCTCCAGCAGGAGAGCCCTGAGGTGCAGAAGTGGGAGGCTGACGGCGACCGTACCAGTCGTGCAGCTGCTGGGAGGTGAGGGGCACACGCGGACGAAGACGGCTACTCCAAGGAGACCGCGTAACAGCAGTCTCAGAACCCTCAGGCGACTCACCCCCAGACTCAGCACCCTCAGGCTCCGCACACACAGGCTCAGCACCCCCAGACGCAGCACCTCCAGACGCAGTACCCCAAGACGCAGCACCTCCAGGCTCCTCACGCGCAGGCTTAGCACCTCCAGGCTCCACACGCTCAGCGCTCCCAGACTCAGCACCCCCAAGCTTCGCACCCCCAGGGACAGCACCACTCCCAGCAGGACCGGAGTCACCAGTGACCTCAACAGGCGCAGGCGCAGGGGGGTCTACCTGAGAGACACCTGAAGGAGCAGGACCTGGCGCGGGGAGGGGGTCTACCTGGGGATGACCTGGGGCGAGAAAAAGCGGCGGGGGGGGGCGAGGAGCAGTGCGGTAGGAGAAGAGGCGGTAAAAGGGGACCGACTCGTCAAAGGTGACGTCCTGAGACGCAAAGACACGGCGCGAGGCGGGGTCGTAGAACTGCCAGCCAGGCGCGTCAGGGACAAAGCCAAGGAAGACGCAAGGAATGGCGCGAGGGGAGAGCTTGTCAGCGGTGGTATCGCGGACAAAGGCACGAGCACCCCAGACCCGGAAACGCGACGCGTCGCCAACCTTCCCCGTCCACAGCAGTGTGGGCGAAGTCTCCGGCAAGGAGACACGGGGCCAAAGGTTGAGCTGATGCGCGGCGTACCGGACCGCAAACGGCCACAGAAAATGGGGGGCAGCCGCATGGATCATGGAGGTACGAGCGACCTCCATGACTAAGCCAATGCGGCGCTCAGCAACCCCATTCTGCTGCGGAGAGGCCGGAAGCGTGAAATTCTGGCGGATGCCGTGCTCCGCACAGAAGGCTGCCAAGAGGTCTGAGGAGAACTCACCACCTCTGTCAGAGTGCAGACGCAGGACAGGAAAGTCCGTCTGGAACCGCTCGCGGAGCTGGAGACGAGTAGCGCGGATCCAGGGGATAAAAACATCAGGGACATCCCCCTTGCGCTGCAAGGGGAATACCGTGGTGTAGCGCGTGTAGTCGTCGACAACCAGCAGGAAGTACTGCTCGTGGCCCTGTCCACGGACGCGGGCTGGGCCCCACACGTCCAGGTGGAGAGTCTGCAGTGGAGCCTCTGTGGGAGGGAACGAGGAGGAGTGAGGAGCGGCGCGCTGCCGCCCCTCGACGCAAGGAATGCAGGGCGGCGCAGGCGAGGGAGGGAGGGCAGGCAGAGACCTGGGAAGACCAGAAACCAGGAAGCGGGAGTGCATGCTGCGCAGGCGAGGCAGGGAGGGGTGAACAAGGCGGTGGTGCCACAGGAGAGTGTCGTGCGACAGCCGGCGACACTCACACTGTGTAGCTACCTGAGCAGACGCGTGCAACTGGGGAGATAAAGGGACGGAGCGTGACGCAGTGGTGAGGGTGTACAGACTGGACCCTGGGGCACGAGCGAACGTGGCCAGGTGGCGATCAGTCTGGGAGCACGTGCAAATCGCCACACGCTGCCGGCTAGGGGTGAAGGTGTTAACCCCCGCATCCTGGAGGACCGCGTTACTCACCAAGTTCGTAGAGAACGAGGGGAGGTGGAGATCAGACAGCTCACCAGAAGGGACCGCCGGACACGGAAGCACAGTGGAAGACCGTGGAAGCACTGGGCCCCCAGAGGGGTCAGCCAGTGAGACAGGAACAGGTGCAGGGAGAGGAGTGACTGTGGTACTGTCGCGAAAGAAACAGCGGGAAGCACCAGAGTCAAGTGTAAAGGTGTGCAAGGCCTGTGCAGGCGCAGGACCAGGGGGAGCAGACTCACAAGCACCTAGTGCTGCCGGGGCTATACCAGGGGTTATACCAGGAGCCGGCGGCACACACAAGTAGCAGTCACCCTCAGCACTAACAGACAATGCATACATAGTAGCAAGAATTGCCTCATAGTCAAGATCAAAGATAGGGACATCACGCCTAAGCAAGTCTGCCCAGTTGGGGAACTCAGGAGCATCAGGAAACTTGGCACGCCATGCGTCGCTAAGTCGAGCGAAGCAGCGCTGCTCAGTGTGAAAACCTGTGCACTGGCGACCAGTGCGGGGACCTGTGCGGATAATATAGGGGCAGCGACCAGGACCCCCTGAAACCCCACGCCCAGCATACCAGTCAAGAAGCTGCTGGGAAGTGGGGGTCTGGCGCTGCCGCTGATGCTGCTGCTGCTGCTGCTGCTGCTGTGGCTGCTGCTGGCCCAGACCACCACTGCCACCACCGCTCCCTCCTCCCCCACTGCC